AAAAGGGCAAACATGACTGGACCCCAGAACATGGTTCAGCCCAAACAAAGTGCCTATGAAACAGCCGCTGGGCCTGCCCCTACCAGCCCACAGCCGCCCACACCTGCCAACGCCCGCCAACACCCGCTCACACCCACCCACACCCACCCACAGCCACCCAAGCACTGTTGCCGCAGATGTGGTTGCCAATTTGCACTCGCACCATGTCATTGTACCTCAACATTACAAAACATAAAAATTCATCATTTGGAAGGCAATTGCTCAACAGTGAACCATTAACACAAGCAACACTTTGTAGAATACTTCAAAAAAGTCTAACATGGGATACATTAGTAATCCATCTCAACAAATGTCATTACAAATACCCCCTATCTTGGTGCTCAGACCAAATCTTTGGTTGATTTAACAAACAAATATGTCATTCACCATTAGACCAACTTGTGTGTTCTTTTTCTTTGTCAATGTGGCGTGCATCCCAGGAAATGCACTCGCTCTTCGAGCTTGATGCAGGCACACATAAATTTGCATGAGCGACCTGCGCCATGACAACAAAGGATGCGCAATATTTGTTCATTTGACTCTCGTGCTGATCCTCATGTTCATCCTTGCGCTGGTCTTGTCATGCTGATTGTCACGCTTCTCCCGCGCTGTTCCAGTCACACCGGCCCCATCCTGTTCCTCCCATTCCTCCTCTCACTGCTCCTCCCACTGCTCCCTTGCTCGCAATTACACAGTCGAAATTGCAGGCGAACGTTTTCTCCTGCTGCGATTAGATTCACTTTTTTTTTTTAACGGCAAAAGCCATGGAGATAGATAGATATCTATGATACGCTACGACACGATACTATACGATATACGATACGATACGATACGATACGATATGATACGATATGATACGATACGATACGATACGATACGATACGATACGATACGATACGATACGATACGATACGATACGATACGAGGCGATACGATACGATACGATACGAGGCGATACGAGGCGAGGTGAGGTGAGGCGAGGCGAGGCGATGCGATACGATACGATACGATACGATGCGATACGATACAATACGATATGGTACGTCACGATACAATACGATATGGTACGTCACGATATACGATATGATACGATATGATACGCTACGACCCGACCCGACACGACACGACACGACATGACACGACACGACACGACACGACACGACACGACATGACACGACACGACACGACACGACTTGATACAAATGATTGATTGATTGAGAGGGGAGACGAGGGGAGGAGAGGGGAGGAGAGAGGAGGGGGAGGAGAGGGGAGGTGAGAGTAGAGAGTGGAGAGGGGAGGGGAGAGTAGAGAGTAGAGAGGGGAGGGGAGAGTAGATAGTGGAGAGGAGAGGAGAGAGTAGAGATTGGAGAGCAGAGTAGAGTAGAGTAGAGTAGAGGAGTAATTAGATTAGATTAGATTACGAGAGAGAGAGAGAGAGAGAGAGAGAGAGAGAGAGAGAGAGAGAGAGAGAGAGAGAGAGAGAGAGAGAGAGAGAGAGACAGAGAGAGAGAGAGAGACGTCAACCCGCCCGCACTGGATCTCTCTGGGTGTGCTGCACCTTGCTGCGCCTGCTGCCGCTATTTGAAAGCTGACACCAATTTTGAATTGCGAGCAAATATACCCGATTTTGTGGTCAGAGTCGCTCGGTTTTGTTTTCATGAGGTGAACTCCGGAAGCTCTAAAGGTCTGCTGGACCAAAACTTTTCGGGGGTAGGCAGGCTGGCAGCCCATTTTGTTTTTGTTTGTGGGAAACTGGAATGGTTCAACGTTTATTTTTTTGTTTTAGTTTTTTCCTATTTTGGGGGGTAGGGCGGGTGCTCTGTGTTGGGTAACCCAGGCCAAGGCCTAATCCACTGGACACCCACCCAGGCCAATGACTCGGGGCCCCACAACTCGCCTGTCGGGTGAGCCAGGCCAACATGTCACACATCACCCATCCAGTCTGGCTTCACTGCATCCTTCCATGACCCATCCAGCCTTGTGGATCAGGTGGGTGTGGGTGTGGGCACCCGTTGCTCACCTCTGCAACCTAGGTGGCCCTGAGGGGCCCAAAATGGTGGCCGTGGCCCTGCAAACCGTAAAAATGCTGAGTATGCGGCCAAAGAACCTGGAACTAGTCCAATGGTGGGCCTGGAGGGCCTGTGTGGGATCGGTGCATGCCACATACATTCTCTACAGAATAGAGCAACGAGCCCGTTCAATAGAAGCTTGATCACATCTAAAGCAACGATATCCATCCAAGCCTTGAATCAAACGAATCATTGACGGAAGCAGCGAATAACAGCACTTATGAAAGTAAAGAGAACAAACTGAACCACAAAGAACAAGTTGAATAACTCTTAAAAATGAAGAACAAGAAGTGTCTCAGCATCTCCCAGTCTCCGTCCGATTCTTCTTCGAAGAAACTGAAAAAGAGAGAAAAACAAAGAGCAAGAATAAAAAAACACCAAACGTGGGCCATCGATGTGTTTGAATTCTCTGCGGGACCACCCTCTACTCCACATCAACCCTGCTCATGGCTGACCCTTTTCTCGACAAGGAATCTTCTCTCCACTCTCTCCAATCGAAGGTTATCTACTCTTCTCTCCTGGCCAGGCCTCCCGGATGCGAACCACAAAGAATAAGTTGAATAACACTTAAAAATAAAGATTAAAAAGTATTTCAGTATCTCCCAGTCTCCGTCCGTTTCTTCGTCAGGAGTCTACTCCCTCACACTCCACATCAACCCTGCTTATGGCAAGGAATCTTCTCTCGAGTCTCTCCAACCTAAGGTAATCTACTCTTCTCTCCTGGCCAGACCTCCCAGAGGCTATGTGCCAAATTAGTGAAGTCTTGATTGAAGAAGGCTGGTCCCTTGTAGTTTCCGAGTCTCCTTCTTCAATGCAGCTACGGCTGCCAGCCACCAGGTAAGATTTTCCACCCTCAGGTGTCTTCTCTATGTCACGGGTGTGCCTCCCAGTCCTCCTGTCTGTTACCCTTGCCTTCTGTCTCTCGTAGCTGTCGTGGTCGCCTACTACCTCTATGGCTGCATGACCAAGCACTCTGTCTCCACTCCTTGGCAACAGCAGGGTAGCCTGGCACACTACTCGAGCGATGTGCCCAAGCAGAATGTTGCGATAGCAAAAATATAGTGCTTTGACTAGGTGCTGAACCCTAGCGGCTTGCTGGGTGGCGGCTGCTGGGCTTGGCCCAACCCCCCATCCAGTAGGCCCTGGATTCGTCTGAAACTTAGTCTGGACTGTCAGATGTGTGTGAAAGGCATTCCACGATTCAGACCCCAAATTTGAATTTCAGGGTCAAGGTCTCAGGAAGGGAGGTCGGTCAGTTTCAGAAAAGTCACAGTCGGGTACCTTAGGAGTCAAGTCCAACAGGCACCCGGTAAACAGTCACATCCCAAAGGCAAAAAGTGCATTCTGTAAGCAAAAGTCACGTCTCATATTGAAAAGTCGTGTCCCACAGGAAAGGACACTTCTCCAGGCAAAGTCGTGTCCTAGAGGCAAGAGTCACATTCCACAGTCAAAAGTCATGTTCCATAGATGAAAAGTCGTGACTCAGAGACTCAAGCAGCAGCACACCAATGAAAATTCGGGAAAAGTACCAGGTATGACATTCTGGAGCAACCAGGCCGTGGGCATGTGGTACCGGGTCCAAGTCAAGCCAAAGGAAGCAGAGGCTGGGACGAGTTGAGGCTCAGTCCAAGTAAGGACTCCCCAGCCACATTTCACGGAAGATGGCTCATTCGTGAGAAGTGTGGAAGTGCTGTTGAAGCGCTTGTGCAAGTAGCATGCGCACGTGACACCTGCTGGGCAGCGCTGCATTGAGAGGGAAGGCGGCCATAGCCGCATAAGTTAGTAGTAGGGATAGAGCTAAGTAGCAGCAGTTGTATTCAGAGTCAAGGTTCTCAAGGAGAAGGAGAGAGAGAGAGAGAGAGAGAGAGAGAGAGAGAGAGAGAGAGAGAGAGAGAGAGAGAGAGAGAGAGAGAGAGAGGAGAGTCACCTACCTTAGATGAGGGTGCTGGTATTGGGTTGCTGAATTCTGCGCTGTTAAGCGCTTGGTGACTGGATCTCTGGAACCGTTTAATGTGATAATTTGTTGGAATTTCTAAGCTGCACATATCTGGACTTTGCATCTCTGGACTCCAGTGTGGATCTCGTGTAATCTCTCAATGTGCGTGTGTGCTCGAGCAGTGAGGCTCAATGCATGTGTGGAATCTGTGGTCAAAATTAATTTAAGCAGAACTCTTCTGACTTTTGTCTTCCTGGGTTGGACTGGGGCTGGGTGTTAATGTACCTGGGGTAATAGGCCGACTGGGTGTCAGTCCTACCGTACTGAGAGCATTTCTCAGTCCTACGACCTGGATGCGACTCAGGGCCTCTTAAATGCGGGCACTTCAACCCGCTTTCTCGAAATAGTGCTTCATGGGTGATGATGAAAGGAAAGTCTTGTCACACATTTTCACGTACACTGCAGTAGCGGCGCAATTGGTAGTTTGGATAATACAAAGAAAAGTGTCTCCACACTCTTCACTGTCATGCTGATAAAGTAGAGCATTGTCATTGGTTGTATGAGCACGGTGACATATTCGGTTTGACCACGATTGGGCAACTTCAATGCGACACTACATGGAATCAAAGTTCAAACCAGTGATCTTGACCATATCCACGGGATATCTTTGCCACTGCAGTTGTGACTGGATGTTGAAAATTGAAGTCGTACTGGTCCTGAGACCCACCCCACGCCCGCACAGCTGGGAGTGTTCCACAAATCTCTCCAGCATGGTACACTCACAAGATCACCACAGGCATGGCCACACACCCTCTGCAGCCACGTCTGAAGATGCAGCAACTGTCATGCGGATCTGTCTGAGGAGCCTGCTGTAAGCTGTCTAAAATGAATGAGATTCTGGCAAGAATTGTGTGTTTCACAAGTCCACAGGTCTTGACTGAGTTGGCTGTGTGCAGGACACATCGCTTCTGAGTGTGGCATGGGAGATGCTGCTACCTGAGAATAGAGTCGTGGATCCACAGAACATGGCCGAGCTTCTGTATGCAAATGCTGGACCTGTGGAATGCTACTCTGCTTATCGCCTTCTTGCAGATGATCGTGTTTTCTTCAAGAAGAAAGTGAAGGGGCCTCCTCCGCAGCATGAGCCACGACCAGCTGCCGTGGTGAGAGAGTTGTCCTTCCCTCCTTGAGGCTTGGTCTTTCACGATGCCATGCAATGATAAAGTTGGAAACGATGTTCCTTTCTTCCATCCGTTCCTCCGTCATGGTGATTCTATGGCCGTGTTGCTAATATGATATCTGTCCGGTTCTGTCTCGATGATGCCATCCTGCTGATCTGAGATGAGTCTTGATAGTTTCCTTCAAGGTGTGTGGACTTTGATAGCTAGAGAAAACCGGTTTATATGCTTGCAACGTTCTTTTTCTGAGTTTTTCACCATTTGTCCCCCTTGTTGCTTGGCCCCTTAGGGTGTAAGGTGGCTTTACAAGAGAGGCTTGTGCCTGAGGGCACATACATGGTGCACACTGTGGTTTGATAGGAAAGAAACACCTAAATCCTAAAGTGTTGTTTAAACCACCGGTCGGTCCAAGCCTCTATTTTCCAATTCACTGTGTTGGCTGAACCCTTGGAAAAATTAAACGTTGCGGTGGTTTAATTCCGGATGCTCCGCTTGTCCCTTCCCACTGTAGAGACTGGAGAGTGTCGGGTGTGCCGAAGCAAAACATCAAATGGCTTGGTCAAGTTCCCCTCCTGCTTCACAACTGAGGCAGGTACTTCTGAATGGAAAGGGATGGTCAGTCTACAGGGAAAAACTAGAAGATTGAAGGTAGCGCTGTCTAGCCTGCCTATTTCCTGATTCAGGCAGGGCATGTAGGATTGGTATGGCTATTGTCATTGTCTTTTTTAAAAGGGCAGCCTTGATACATCATCTTCAAGCTGACCAGCTCAGGTAAATTCAGTTATCAACTTATCAGTCATCTTATTCCATTGGAATTCCAACTCAGGTCTGTATTTCAACAGTTCATGCGGTGTACCAACTAAGCTAGGCCAGCTGGTCAGTTGTTGTCCTCCATTTAGTCGGGCATTGGTGTGCAGTGATCATACTTTCTGTTCATACATCAGTTTTGTATGCATCGAGTTGCGTTGATGGGAATGCTGAATGAGAGGCAAATATCTGGTTTTGTGCTACAGGACAAGCATGGTGCAGTGTGTTACAGTCCGTGCAAGAGTGATGATGTAGCTTATGCTGACAATGCAGGTTGAGGAGCTAAAACAAAAGATAGCACAGCAGGAAGCCACACTGCGTCAGCTAAAGCGGTTTGTGGAGGCAGCACAAACTGTTATGAAAATGCCAAGGTCCAATAAACCTGCACCAGAGTTCTGGTTCAATTCTGAGAAGTCGAGGCCATGGTGCACCGCTCTTAAGAAATACGCACTGGAAGCAGTTGAGGCCGACCGGGAGAAGAAAACTGCTGAGCAGGTAAGAGACTGTTGTCCACACAACTGCCGCCTCTGCTTCCCTCCAACTTAACCATGTGAGAGCTTGACAACTCTGCATGTATTGCGCTCTTTGTTTTCCATCCCCCACCTTTTCCTCAAGTTCCTTGCATGCCATGTTAACCTTCCATTCCTGAGTCCGTCAGCCATTTGAATGTTCTCAGCAAGATGTGATCACTCACTTTAAGAGTGCAACTTAACCATGGGTGATGGGTGAGGGGGAGCAGCTTGCACATCTGGTAGGCCACAACTGTAGCCTTCCATTTCAATGAATTTGCTTTTTGATGGATTTTTCGGCTCGGTTGTGTTCCCCCGGTCTGCCACAGGTCCTTGAAGCACTAGGCTCCCAGCGCACTCCTGCCCATGCAGCAGATGTTCTCATCAAGATGGGAGCTTGGCCAGTGCATGCAAACTTGGAACTGCTCAAGTCCAATCTACCTGTGGAATTCCCACCGGAGGTTCTTGAATCGGCTGAGAGGCTGATGTTGCAGCCTGTGCCAGATCCTGATAAGGTAAGCTGACTGCTGGATGGAGTCTTACCCTCTACTGGTAGAAACCTGGTGGAAGGGAGCTAGTTGGATTTCTCTGATGTGGCGGATGTCAATGGGACAAATGCTTGGAGGTCAATTGGACTGTCAACAACACACATGCTTTTTGAAGATGGGTCTAAGTTCTCCAAACTCAATGGGATTCAGTTCCTTCTCACAAAATGAGCCATCCTGGACCGTTGTTTACTGTAATAAACCCAACAATCGCGAGAAGCTTCCACAACAGGAACATGCATGTAGTCTCAATGCACTCAACATGGAACCAACGACAATGCAAAATAAGTCGTGAAACATTCAGTGATGTCCCAGAATAGGCAGCCAGAAAGCAGAAGCGATACAAGGTAGGAAGCAGTAGAGAGGAGGAGGATAGATTCATTAATAACCAGTAATACAATTGAAACAGCTCTCCAGTTCCCCCTCCTCCTCCAGGACCTTCTCCCACTAATGGCCACCTCAGCGTTCGATCCTCCTGAATACACTGATGGAGTCTCTCAGCAGGTGCCAGTCAAGGGTAAGTACAACGTTGTTGCTGACGCATTAAGTCGAAGATCTGACTTTTTCGGTGTCGTTGTAACATACTTAGATATGGGCACCGACTTGCAAGATAAGATTAGGAATGCATATTCCACGGATCCTGTCTATGGCGCTATGATTAAACGTGTGCAAGAAGCGCCACAAGAGTTTCCTAACTACCGAGTTACACAGGGACTGTTGTTTGAACAAACAGACGTGCATGACAGGCTTTGCGTTCCAAATGTGGAAGAGATCAAAAGCTTGATCTTGGGGGAATGCCATGATACTGAAGGCCATTTCAGCTGGAAGAAGACTTATGCAAGCTTGTTGCGTTCCTACACATGGCCTCGTATGAAAGCCGACTGCATCGCTTATGTGCAAGGTTGTCAGATATGCCAAAGAAACAAGAGCACAACGCAACCTCCCCTTGGACTACTAAAGCCCTTGCCAATTCCAACAGGTCCAGGAGACTCCGTATCGATTGATTTTATGGATACCAAGGTGAAGAGCAGGAATGGAAAGACGCAAGTTATGGTCATTGTTGACAAATTTAGTAAGTATGTTGTATTTGTAGCAAATATGACGTGGATAAGATTGTTGCTGAAAGCACTTTCCAAACCGGACGAAGAGGCAGACCCCAGCGACAATATAAAGTAAGATTCGCCTATCAAGACCCAAGTGAAGATCGCTGGTTTACAAGAGAAAATTTACTTGATTCTGTATCTCATATCATATCTGCATATGAGAGAGCTAAGAGAGGAATAAGTATTATTGATAGATGAAGGTTTTCTCAGAGGACTTCGAATCTAGGCCGGCGAGAGTAAAAGGGCCTTTACCCGGTTCAGCCCCTGCTCGACGAAAGCAGCATATTGGGGTCCCTCGCCCAGAGCCCGATTCGTGAAAGCAGATCAAAAGGCATGTTCTCTGGGTCAAAGGTCACATCCTAGTTAAAGCAAAAGACATTGTCAAAGGTCACAGTTGTGCCCCTCGACGAACAGTTGGGGTGTGCAAGTCATACAGAGATGTGTCTGTACGTGCAGTCAATGTGTCTATTCGTGCAGTAAAGGTTTCTGTTCGTACAAAAGATGTGTCTGTCTAAAAAGAAGTCAAACAGATAAGTCCCAGTTCAGATTCCAGTCAAAGGGAAAGTCTAGATACAGATAGGCAGTCCGAAATTGAGGCCTACAGGCCGCAGCAGCAGCAGCCCTTGAAGGAAAAGGGTCTGGGACACATTCCACAGAGGCTGGGACTGGGAAAGGACCCAAGACAGACAGAATTCAGGCCTCGTTTGGGGAGGCCAGCACTATAAGAAATGAGACTGCCTCCCCACAAGGCAGATTCCCATAGGCATTGATGCGTGGAAATGCTGAGGCACTTGTGCTCTATAGTGCTGGGAGAGGCGCTGACTGAAGGAGAGGTGCGCCAGGAAGAAGGGAGGCTGGGCACTGGCTGCAGAGAAGCCATAGCTGCGCCAGCTTATGTTAGTAGTAGAGAGTTAGTAAGTAGGATATCACTGAGTAACATTCAAAGTAGATCTTCGTAGGTGAGAGTGTGCATGCAGAGTGAAGTGAGAGAACGAAGACATAGTTCTAGAGAGAGAGAGAAGAGATCAAGAGAGAGAGAAGACAGGAAGTGAGTCTGGATATGGTGTACACTTACCTGTTAGCGCCACATCTGTAATCTGAAGAAGGATGTTGGCTGAGCCAGATCCCATGCTGTTATATGACGAGGGAGACTTACCTCTTGTTGGCGCTGATCTCTGGAACTCGTGATACTCTTTGTATTAAGTGACATTGATAATATAAGCTGCGCTACTTGGTTCTTATCTCATCTCAATCTGGTTTTGTGTGAAGCCATTTTGTACGTGCGATGACATGTTTTCATGTGGAATGATGCTCTCAAGCAAGCTGTGAAGAGTCAGGTTCCTTGCACTATTTGTGTTTCAGAAACAAACGGTCCATATTGGGAGAAATGAAAATGTTAAAAGTAATATATGCACATCCCAAGATTAATCCTAAACGAAAAAGAAATCATAAGTATGTAGAAAAGTCTATCAGCTGTCCTTCGGGACATCGATTAAAATTGGGGTGATATAGAGAAGATGAGCATGGCCCCTGTGCAAGGATGACACATTAAAAAAAAAAAAAAAACCTAAAAGAAAAAAGAAAAGTCTATCAGCAAAGGAGTGACTGCAATGCCCGGTTGTTGCTCCTAATTGCTCCTAATTGGGAACAGTTCAAACAGGTGATTAATGCATTGTGACTCACCACCACATTAAAAGACAGCAGCACATCCAGGACAGCATAAAAGGAACAGTGAGTGTGTGAGTGGGTGGGTGGGCAGGTGGGTGGCTGGGTGAGTGGGTGGGTGAGTGGGCGCTTTGGGTTCGTGCGTGCGTGAGACAGTTGAGTGAGTGAGTGTGTTTGTTTGTGTGTGTATGTGTGTGCATGTGCACCTTGCATACATGTTGTATGTTTGCTAAACACAACTCCGCTACAAGTGTCATTGCGGCAAGTGTGTCATTGCAGAAATTCACAAGGAGGTTTATCCTTGACAGTCTGCCTGGGATATGCTTGGCTGATGGATAAGGGATCACCACCTTGCCCACAATTAGTCATACCCTTTGAGAAAAGTGGTCTACGTTTCTCGTCCAACCTAGCAATCCCAGCATGCCCACGTGTGTGTGTGTGTGTGTGTGTGTGTGAGAGAGAGAGAGAGAGAGAGAGAGAGAGAGGGAGAGAAAGAGAGAGAGAGAGAGAGAGATTTGGAGTGCGTTATGTCGTTCACATCAGGCACACTCCTCTCTCTCATCTTTGTTGCAGGTGACACCATGGGATGATCCGTGTGTATAGCAACTCTGGCAATTAGTGGAAGTCCCTGTTTTCGTTTCTTTATGTGAGTCCGTTGTCGCTAGTGAGGCAAAAATCGTTCCAGGTGTATTTCACATCTTTATTTACGGAGGAATCTCCGGGCCTGTCCTCTTCGTCATTGCTTCTTCCTGAAAGTTGTTGGCTGATGAAAAGCACGGTTTTCCTGCTTTTTCTTTGTAATACTCCAATGGTGCTCAGGACCACAGAGTGGATCTCACGTCATTGAAGGTGTACACTATTGATTCTGAAGACACTAAAGAGGTGAGAGCTGTATTTCAATAGGGTGTCCACTCCCCTCACCAGTTCCGATCGAGGGCTGGCCTGAACCGGTGCTTTCTCTGCAGGTCCTGCTCGCACCCGTTTCTAGACTTGTGCTTGGGGCCTTTTGTGAACTCTGTGAACTTGTGTCGAGTACTCTCTTTGGACGCTTTTAGCCTTTGAAGCTTTTTTTTGAACTGTGCCATCGGCTGATCTATTTCGGACATATTAGTCCTCATTCCATTGTGCAATGTGATTCATACATTGCAAGTCACATCTCTGGGCTCCATTTTCTCTCCATGGCCTTGTTGTTGGGGGTGTGCTGTCTTACCCTCTTGAGTACGTGGTCATGAGAAGAAGTGCTTGTATGTTTTAGTATCCTAATTCAGTGCCGCCAACGTCTTGCATTTCTTCAGGTTTACTGTAAGTTCGTTTTCTGTCAACTTTGAGAAGATTTTCCGTAGATGCTCGTGATCTTCTTCCAATGGTTTACTGTGTTATGATCCTGGCTATTCCGAAGCGCAAATACACAAGGAAAGACAACGCCGTTCAATTGCAAAAGAAATGAAAGAACTTGGAACCTGTGTTAAACTCCGGGCCGCCCAGCAGCCCAGCCTTCGTCCGGCAGGGGTCCCGGGCGGCCCGGCCGGTTGGGTCCCCCGGTTTGGCGCCGGCCGGGCCCAGCGCATTTTTGCGCGCGGGGGGGAGGAGGCCATTTTCGAAGTGGTTTGGCCCGTGGGAGCCTTCCTGCCCCCCGACGCAATTTTTTTCGACGGGCGGCCTTCGAATTCGAACATGCAGTTCGTCGAAGAGCTGCCCGTTTTATTTTTTCGTTCACGTTGCCTGCCGTCGCTGCCCGCCGTCGAAGAGGTGCCCGTCGTTGCTGCCCGCCGTCGGAAAGCTGCCCCGTCGTGGTCGATACGGTCCCACTGTGGTATCCGCCTCCACCTCCTTGCTTCCTCTTCTTCTTCTTTTTCTTCCTCTCCTCCGCCTCCACCTCCATTCATCTTCTTCTTCTTTCTCTACTCCACCTTTCCTCCTCTTCTTCGTCTCCCCCTCCACCTCCTCCTCCTCTCGTCTTCTTCTCTCGTCGTCGTCCTCCTCCTCCTCCTCCTCCTTTTCTTTTTCTTCTCTCCTCCTCCTTCCTTTTTCTTCTCCTCCTCCTCCTCCTCGTCCTCCCTTCGTCTTTTTCTTTCCTCCTCCTTTCTCCTCCTCCTCCTCCCTGCTTCATTGGTTTTCTTTAGTAGGCGAAGTGCCACGTGTCAGGATTTCTCTCTCTCTCTCTCCTCCTCCTCCTTCGTCATTTTTTCTTTTTTCTTTTTCGTCAACGCCATATGAAACCGGCAGGTCCTCCTCCTCCTCCTCCTCCTCCTCCTCCTCCTTTCTCCTCCTCCTCCTCCTCCTTTCTCCTCCTCCTCCTCCCTATTTCATTGGTTTTCTTTATTGGGCGAAGTGCCATGTGTCACTCTCTCTCTCTCTCTCTCTCTCTCTCTCTCTCTCTCTCTCTCTCTCTCTCTCTCTCTCT